TCCAGTATGCTGTCTAACTGAAGAATTAGAAGAGTTGCATGGTTCTATGTGAATAGACAGGACTCTATATTTGGTGTAAATAGTTGACTCGGGAGGGTGTCCAGAGGATGTCCAGGAACTGTATCCGATGTCACTCGATTGACCCTGCCCCAAACGCACTGATCCTGATGAGATTGGGACAACAAACAGTTGGACAAGGTTAGCTGTCGATATAACACATTTTCACGTGGGTGCATATTTGATGATTGTGGACATGGTTGACTGGTGATATAGAGGGAATTGTGTGCAGAAATGGCATCTGTGGTTGCAGAAGAACTGGAGAAAGTGATTCTTGAACAAGATCCAATAGCAGAGGTGGTAATTGACAATGGCACAATTTTCTCCTCGGCACTCCAAAATGCTTGAAAAATGGAAAATAAGAAGGTACTACAGAGCAGTGTACAGGCTACACAGAAATGAGATCGTGAAAGCTAATAGCTGAGAGAAGAGGGATATTGCTTGTCAAAGTGACATTTTGGTACAACATGGTGCCTAAGGTCAGACAGAGAAAGGAGACAGTACTACAAAGGTGAATTTTCACCTACAAATGGAGGCACCTGAAAGATATATCTCCGAATACCAATAAGGAAGATCTGGCCAGAATTCAAATAGGGAAAGAGATTGCACAATGCAATGGGAGAGAGGTGACTGGAGTGCAATCCTATAACAACCTTACCATTGATAGGATGCCACGGCATATTTTAGATTTAAGGCGAATGGTCCTTGCAGATGATGATGTGAATGCTGAACTTGGTGAACTTGAAACAGCACCAATGCAAAGATCACAGAGAGAGTGAAAAGTGCTGACCTAGGCATGAGATTATGTTGTGTGAAATACTCTTTCAGGATCATGGGAGCCTGTAGTTTGAATGAATGAAGGAAGAAGAGAAAATGGAATGTCGCTTACCTTGTGGTGGTGGAGAAGAAGAAACAGTGACAGGCGGGGATTTCTTTTATAAAAAAAGATATTGCAGCAGACCAGGAAAAGTGATGAATTATGGGAAAGAAAAAAGCTATAAAGCTTAACTGAAAATAGGAGTCAGGGATTTTGTTTTTCATGCAAGAAAGGAAGAAGGCAATTTGACAGTAAGGAAGAAAGTGTGAGATCCTGGGAAAAACCATTTTTATTTTTTGAACCACACACACATATATAGATGAACTTCTCATCAACGGACTAATAGGGGGGAGAGGTGGTCCGTTAAAGCCAATTGTCCATAGATGAGAGGGGATTATTTTTGAGTTATAAAACCACTATAGTAACTACCAGTAGATATGATCATAATGTAAATACTATAAACATGTATATATGGCATAAATAAATATATGCTTAATAAAGATAAGCAAAATAACAAAAATAATAGATTTCTCACAGCTACTTTCTCACATATGTGCTAATGTATCGTACTTTATATACTGTACACCTGTCTCTGTTTAAAATTGAAAGGCCAGCCACCGCCACCAAATGGTCACTTTGAGAATTAATACAACTTGTTCTGTTAAGCCTGCAAATTTTGAAATACATCGCTGATGATTTGAAATTTTTTTTTTTTTCCTGCAGATTATTTTTATTTTGCCTCTAGATTTTGTCCATTGCATCCAAAGTCCCCTGATAGGGGGTCCATAGATGAGAGGTTTGTCTAAGTGTGTGTGTGTGTGTGTATATATATATATATATATATATATTTAAAAGAAAAACAGACCACTTTAAGGTACCATTATAATAATTTATTTCACCAGAGTCCTTTTAAAGGACGCCAGATCATCAGATAGCACTTCCAAAAATGAAATGAAACGAAAAATGAAATTAAAATTGATGGGTAATGTAAGTTTTTGTAATTTAACAGAGAGTGTAAGAGGGATAGTTAAAGAGACATGGTAGAGTATAGGGATTACCAAGTTCTTCATAACTTTATATATATATATAATCAAGAACAGTATTAAGGAAATTGTAAGACAAAATGGGATTATATAATCTAACAGAATTTATGCTAATGGAGTGCTCAGTATTAGACTAGAACGATTTGTTATTTATAATATGGCAACGTTTACTCTACATGCCCACAAAAGTATGGTGTCAAAAGGATTGTTATTCCCTTGACACTTCTATTATTGTATACACTTTTGACTCCCTTTATTTTAATAAATAAATAGGGCTTAATTTTTAATTTTTTTTTTGTCAGTTCTCAAGAATAAAGAAAATGTTTAAATCAACTCTCATTTTATTAAAATTCTTATTTCTGAGGGAGTCAAAAGTGTATACAGTAAATGCAGTGTCAAAGGAATAACCATTAAACAGGTTAAACATTGTCTACATTGCATATATATTGTCCACATTGTATGTATATATATATATATATATATATATATATATATTAAAACAGTAAATCTTCTGAGACTTATATTCCTTTTTGGCTCTATTTCAACATCTTGACAATTAGTAGACAATCTACTCACTAGTTTTATGCAAATACCTTGTCACAATTGGTGGGGAGGGAATGATCAGAATTAGTGTTAATTTATTGGGACGTTTCCCAGTTCCTATACAGCTTCCATTTTCCTGTCATTAAATTCATGGTCACATTTAGACAATCAACTCTCATTAAATTTGCTTTAACCTTCCATCAGTAGTTCATATTCTTTAAGAAAAGATTCTAAATCTTTATGGTGCTTATCTATAATTCTACCACTTTTTCTTTTTATAATCAGAAGGCCATCATCTCTGTATAGAACCAAGCTCTTATTATAATTATATGACAGCTTCCATAGCAGAAACATTCCTACCAATCCCGTCACATCCGCACGATCACAACTTTGAATAATGTTTGTCCTTTTTTTTTGTCTGTATTTCATTTTCATGGAAGAGCAAGGATTTTTGACAATGGAATTTTTTTTTTTTTTGCTTATCTCAATAAATTGCTGAACCAAACATATAGCACTGTACAATAAATGTTCTGAAATTGAATATATATATATATATAAATTGAATATATATCTGTGTGTGTTTAAATACTCCCACACAATATTTGATGTTCTTTTTGCATATTAGTTTTCATTTTCATTTTTTCCACATTTCAGTCGACAAATTTGAAACCATGGCAGATCTCACAAGCTCTACACTTGATTTACTTTATCCTTTTCTTCCCAGCAAGCAAACTGATTTAATTGACCAGATCCCAAATCGATCCATTCTTGGTCCAGCTTTTAATCACCTTCTATGTGAGTGTGCTCATAGCATTTATAATGGCAATTATAAAGAATGTCTTCATCACTGTTTTGTATTGCTCGACATTACATGGGAGAAACTCAACACTGGACACTGGACAAGTGTGGCTTTGGAATGGAGAGTCTGTTATTCTATTATTGCCTTGTTTAAGGCATGCTCCCAGTTGGCCCTGCTTTTAACATCACATCCTGATTTTAATTTCTCAGTCTTGGAGGTGATTAAGTCTTGTGATATGGGTTTACTGATGGGAGCTCCCCTTAAAGACAATAACCTTTCCAAGTTGGCTTCCTATATCCACCAGTTGCTTAATTCAAAACTTTCAACTGAAAGCTCCACAACTACAGAGAAACTTAAATGCCTGATAAAGAATTTACCAACTGAAAGCTCTCCAAGTGTAGAAAGTCATCTTTGTGGTGAAGTCTCAATAAATTCATCAACTAATCATTTGGTTCAGGTGGAAGATTACAAAGCAAGTACTGATTCTGAAGAATCCTGTCAACAGACAATTTCTGAAAGGAAGTCTTTTTGTTCATTTCCTAAAAATGCAAAACTTGAAAACTCTTTTTCTAACAAAGAATGGAAGATGTATCAAAGTTCTAACAGTTCTTTTGAACGAAAGAAAATTTTGACTGAAGACTTGGATAATGATCTGACAGAATGTGAAACTCCATCACAATCTTGTGTCCTTGGATGTATTTCTCAGATGCCAAAAGATTCTGAAATCTTGGTAAAAGCCAATCAGATAGACCGACTTAATTGTCCATCTATAGAACGGTTTCATAAAGAATTTTTCCAGAAAGGTCAACCAGTCATAATTACAAATGCAATTTCATTTTGGCCTGCTATGAGCAAATGGAATTTGTCTTATATCAAGGAAATTGCTGGAAGTCGTCTTGTTCCTGTAGAAATTGGTTCCAAATACACAGAGGATTCTTGGACTCAGAAATTAATGACAATTTCAGATTTCATTGAAAATTATATACTCGAAGCTGAAAAAGAAACAAAACCTGTTGGCTATTTAGCCCAGCATCAACTCTTTGAACAAATCCGTGAGTTACAAGAAGACATTATCATTCCAACATATTGTTGTTTAGGGGAAAATGAAGATGTCAGTGTGAATGCATGGTTTGGTCCTAAGGGTACAGTCTCTCCTCTCCACTATGACCCTAAACATAATTTTTTATGTCAAGTGATGGGGCAAAAATATATACGTCTTTATTCTCCTCATGTGAGTAACTCTCTTTACCCTCATGAAGGTCACCTATTGGAAAATACCAGTCAAGTTGATGTTGAAAAACCAGACTTTGAAAAATTTCCTCTTTTCAAAGAACTTCTATACACAGAATTTGTCTTGGAACCTGGCGAAATGTTATACATGCCTCCAAAATATTGGCATTTTGTGAAATCACTTTCAATCAGTTTCTCTGTCAGTTTTTGGTGGGAATAAACAAAAAAGCACTTGATTGTTTTGCATTTTGAGTTACAATACTTGACAGGCAATTTTTTTTTTTCTTTTTAACTGCCTGTGAAGGTCCATCTGTTGGACTTAAGCCTTCATAGATTCACTGGGAGGAATGGGCCATTACCCCACCATGCTGTGTTGGTAGCAGATATGACATGCATAATTCATGAATACCCAAGGGTATTTGTGTGTAAATGAATGTAATGAACCTGATTGGAATTTAAACTCAGCTCCCTAATTTCTCATTTTGAGCTGTTATCCATTACACCACCCAAGCTTACAGCACTTGATATTCCTGAACAGTCACCCGTCTAGATGCTTACTGAGCTCAATGTTGCTTAACTTCAGTGATCAGATAAGAACTGGGGTTTCACTGTGATATGGCCATAAACTAACAATAAATGTTTTAAATTCTTGACAATATTTATTTACAAATAAAATTTGATACTATAAAACTTGATTATTATTCATTTGCTTTGTATCATTGAATGCTATTTATATTTTGATAGTATTATAGGTTTTATAAGTATATTTACAATGAGTAGATATGTTCACCTGTTGTCAGGTTCACTCCTCCCTGTTTTTTTGAACAGGAGTAGAAATAGTAGTTTTTGAACAGTAGTAGTTTAAATTTATCCCTTGTTTCCAGTTCTTTCTAGTTTACTTAAACTCTATACTCCTTTGCTTGTCCTTTCCTATGCTAATATAAATCCACAAAGTAATCCTCTGCCTTCAGTGGCTATTGGGCCTTGTCTTGGGTGAATATTAGCCAAAAAAAATTTTAGCAAATTAACTGTTATTGGTTAGTATTACGAAGTATTTATTTATAAATTTGTTTATGTAATTTTTTCACATACTTTTCCAAGTTCAAAGCCAAGTAAATGTTCAAAGAAACAATTGGTGATTTCTGCAAAATAATAATTGGTGAAAATTGCTTCCAAAAATCTCTATATTTGCTCTAGAAATCTTGTGATTTCCCACCCCACTTTTTAAAATTTTTTAAATCCTACTCACTCCAGAAATGTAACAGTCTTTGGATCCTATCATGTTACAACTACATAAACTTGGAGTTGGTCTATGGAACCCAAGTAAAAAAGGAAATTAATAATATAGTAAAAATCTGGAAACCTTAATTCTATGACAAGTGATGATTAGATTCTGTTCTATGTTCCTGGTTAAATACTGATTGAATTTGGAGATCAGCATTAAACAATGTACACATTTTATCTAAAGAAGAATTTTACTTCTTTAGGAAAACTCGGTTGTCAAAGTGTTTTGCATCACCAACTATTTAAATGTTTCCTCAATAAATTGAATTTGAAAAGAAACCAAATGAAGATGTTTGGAAACATTCTTAAGCTTTCTAAAATTCATTAAAAAAACTACAAATCCACATTGCCGACTGACTTGATAAATTTCATGTTTTGCTCTTTTTAAGTTGCCATTGCAATGCTAGAGCAGTGTTTCCCAACATGGGCACTACTTCCCTCTTGTGGGCTGTTTTGTTGAAAGCGGGTACTGGGAGTTTTTATTTCATTGGAGTGCATGGACATTTATTCATTTTTTTTCACCAAATATTATCCAATATTGTTGACAAAAGGAAATTTCTGAAAGGTATCTAAAGCTGTGGGAAGCTATCAAACTTTTCTTTGTTGCTTTTCCAATTTCCTTTATGGCTGAATGTGGTTTCAAGTTACACAGCTTCTTACTAAACAAAGAAGCTGCCCACAAAAGATCTATGATTATTTCTAACCTAAGAGCCTGAAGTAAGAGCCTTAGCCAGTAAGCTCTGAAGTCAGCCATTGCATTGAAAACATTGATATAAGCTATCAAATAAGAGTTGTTTTTTTTAGCATTTTAATCATTAGTATTTATAATAGAAATGAAAATATTAAAATTATTTTTGCATTAATATCTAAGTTATATTGCTATGAAAGATGAATTCAGTATAATATTTGAAATTTAATTTGATGGGCGAGACATCAACAGAAAAAGTTTATGCCCAAAGTGTGGGGGCACTGGTTGAAAAAAGGGTTGATAAACAGAGCTGGAGTGGCAATTTGTTTTTTTAGAAGTGATAGCACTAATTAATGAATTTATTATTTGTGGTAATTATATATACACCAATTGAAACCTGAGTAGTTGCAGTGTTTTTTTCTCTTTCTCTGTAATAGTCAAGACATTGCAAAAGAGTTGGTTGTTTTCTGTCCATAAAGCTGTTTTTTTTTTTTTCTTGGGTATCCAGTTGTCACAAAACTGTCATTTCTAAGATAACTTGGCTTGATAAAGCCTACCATAAGCTCTTTATACAAATATTTTTTGTCAAAATGATGCTACCATAGAGAAGGGGTTGGTTGGTTTTACAGGAACCATAAAGTATTTTTGTTTCACTGAATTACTGGATGTACTACATTTTGCCTTATCTGGATACTCTGCAGCCATGGATTTTAGAATTTTTTTTTTCATCAATTTTAAAAGTGGTGGTGGTTCAGTCACTTCTGGATGACCTATTTTCTAACATGCTTATGTTGAGAAAAAGATTTTGGTAAGGTTTAACATCCATACCAGCAAAAAAAACTGGTGTCAAAAGAACATTTTTCTCTTGACACTTATTACTGTAGACTCCCTTAGCAAGTTTTATCATTTTAAAAAGCAGTTTTTAGAATTTTAATAAAACCCAAACAAATCTGAATTTATGTATTTTTTTTTTTGAGAATTAGCAACAAAAGAATTAAACACTCTTGTAATTAAAGTTTAATAGTGTTTAATTACAAGAATAGTGTTTAACATTTGTTGTCAATGTACAAATCCAGATGCCTACATTTTATTTATTTGGTGAGAACAAATAAAAGAAATCTCCAGAAAATACCCCCCCCCTAAAAAAAATTTATTAGTTAGTCATAATTATGTATATTTAAATTTTCTTGTTCAGACATTTTTATAAACTTGTAAATATGAAATTATTCTTGTAAATAAGCAATCTTAATAGTGTTTAATTCCTTTGTGGTGAGCTGAATATTTCTGTTGAAGCAAAAGCACTATTTCTTTTCTATTGACAAGTAATTGAAGACAAGTATGATGCATTGTTGATCAAAGTTCATATCTCAGTCTCAGCACAGGATTACTTTCAAACTAGATTCATCTGTACAACTGGAAGTCTTGGGACTAGTCTGAAAATGAATGCAAATATATGATAGTCTGAATGAATGAAAATATATGATAGGCATCACTTGTTGATACAATATTGACTTTTCTAACCCCAGGGAAATTGAAGAGTGAATTACAGATTAGCAAATGCGAACCAAGTGTTTATTAATCTTAATTCTTTGGGAATAATCCTCAAAATCTTGGCTTGTTTTGCTTCCCAACATTAGTGAAATGATTAGAAATCAAATGGTCCCTTTTATCACCTTGTGTTTGGTAAATGTTTGCTTTTCCAGGACAATTCTTTCTACCTCACTACAATTTCATAGACAAAGCAGATGGCCGACCAAGGCCAAACTCCATACATTGACCTCCTAGGACCATGGGAATGACTCTCAAATACATGATGATACTGGTTAAGTCATGGTTAGATCAAAATTGGAATTCAATGAAACCATTGGATTGTTCGGTTAGCAAGGTCGATTTTACTGCTTTTAAACTACAATCTTCCATGAATCTCTCACATATATTAATATCTGCTCAAAGTGTATCTAAATGTAAACAAATGACGTCACACATTATGAAATGGACAAAGTTCGACAAGTATTTTAAGACATTTTTATGTTTTTTTATAAGTTACAATATCAAACTTATGTTACAGATGTCATATTATAACCTTTGAAGAGTATCATATCATTAAATATATATTAGAATGCCTATTCCAGTGTCAAGTGATTTTGTTGATTATTAATTGGCTGGATATGGATAATTGTAAAAAGTTATGATCTTTGTTTAAAATTTGTTTTGTTAAATATCTTGGATATTCACAAGGAGTAGTTTACATCATAGTTTTGCTTGGTCATATTTCTTGATAAAAAATAAGACGCCTGTTACATAAAGTCCAAAATTGAAGCGATGACCTACCAAGGAGTGGCAATCACCAGACACACACATTTTTTTTTAAAAAATACAACAGATAAAGAATACTTTAATTTTGTAAAAGGGAATGAATGGATGGTTCAAAACTTTTCAGTGATTATTTTTTTTCTTTTTAATTAGTTATAGTGCTTTCTAGCATTCTCTGGTTATTTACCTTATGCTAGGTACCTCCATGAAAATCACTAAAAAAAGAGCATAGCTTGATGAAAAAAAAAAAAAAACCTTGCCAAAAACAAAATTTTATCGTCTATGTTATTAAGAGGAAAGACCAAAGTTTTTTTTTTAATTTTTCCTTCCTTTTAGAACATTCTAAATTTTGATTAAAAAAATCTTGTTTCTCTTTGTATCACCAGAACTAGTAAAATAACAGACAATTTTTAGCACGTTTTTTTGGTATGACACACATTAATTTGGAAATTCTTGCAAAAATAAAAATAATTGTCAGATGTTAATGAAACTTTCAGGAACTATTCACAGATGATCGAAACTATTATAAATTTTTTTTTTTTTTTTTTTTTATTAAAGTCATGGCAGAAATATTTTTTTTATATTTATTACCCCCCCCCCAACTAATTTTATGAAAACACTAGTAATTCGATCGCATTGGGTTTAGTGATTACAATAGTTAAAAGCACAAGGCTTTGAGGAATCGGCTCTGAATTGTAACATACAAAACTCAATAAAACAAAGATCTTATTTAATTTCAAATGCTTTTATTTGCTTTTAGTTGTTTTTATGAATATGGACAATATTTTCTGAAAGTAAATTTTTTTGGTGAAAAATGAATATTTAATACAATTATTTGTTATTTCTTAATTATAATATTTTACATTTAAGTTGTTAAAATATTATAAAATTAGTTAGAAGCCGCATCGGGTTTCCTAAGTCTCTTTATGAGATAGATATTTTTTTTTTTTTTTTTTTTTTAGCGCATTAGTCAAAATGATACAATTTACAATCAGAAGATCCGCAGTAATTAAGAAATGTAATTTTGTGTTTATAATCAAGCTGTAATTATAAAGTACGGAAGACCAACCAGAATACAATTAAATTGAGTTATTTGAGTTAAACATTGTTCTCCGCTGTTAAGGCCTTTACTTTTGTGAAACACGTGTGGAGAAGTTAATTTGATTTTTCAATTTCAACTGAGAATGGTACCTACAAGTATCAGTATCATCTTATGAAATTTATATGATCTTATTTTTATATTAATCTCAGTTATGACATTTTTCCATAAATGAAATATCAAAATTAATAATAAAATGAATGGAAATACAAATAACAGTAAAATGTAATAAATGTACAT